GTATCTCGATACAGTTGATCACTTTCTTCGTCTTCTTTCAGTATGAGCACCTCCATTTATCACATTCAAGACAAGGGTTATCACTGCTACCCATTCCTACTTGTGCAACGTGGAAAAAGATGCAGGTTCAGAGTGGTCAGCACAGGTCACACAGCTCCCAGCAGAAGACAGTGAAATACTGGAAGAGAAGGAATGCAAAAGGGCAACGGGAAAGGGAGATGGGGGGGAAAACCACCAGGAGCTGTAAGTGATGCTTTACATCTAATTTCAAGTTGGTGTGTTTGTCAAGAGATTGTTAAAATAAAATCAAAGTGCTGATATGAAGTAACACCCGAGTGGGACTGACTCATAAGAGAAAAATAAGGGCTTTTTCCCCACTCCAGATAACTAAGCATCAGATCATGCAAAGTCCAAAGCAGTGACCCAAGGAAGCAACCCTTTTCTGGTTGATTCCATTTAGAGCAGGACAGGACCTTCTTAGGTGAGCTCTGATCAGATTCAGCCCGAAGTCCTATCAATTGTAACTGGAACCTCACCATTTTGCAGTCCAGAAATGAGTTGTCTGAGGAGGCCACGCTGAAGAGGGCACAAAAAAGGCAAACTCTAAGTGTTCTTGCGTTGCCTGATTAATAGAATCTTAATAAACGTCACATGTGTCTACACTTCTATTAAATGTTAAAGGTCTGTAAGGCACCATACAAAGACAATGCAGATACCATTAGCATTAGTTAGGGATGGATGTGTCTGTTTTCTTTACTCAAGGTGTGATAGAGCTATACAGTAAGGCTGGAGTTAAAGTAGATTATCTTAGGGACACAAAAACTGCAGCAACTTAGATAAGTTGGTGAAATGGGTTACAGAGTAGAAAATCACTGAAGAAGGTCAGAGATGACTACGGAGGACAAGGCATGAGCTGGGCAGTACAGAGGAATGGAAAAGGTGAGGAAAAACTTGAGCCCTCCTTTCAAGTGACAAAGACATCATGTACCTCATACGTTGTCAGGAGCGCATGGAAGTGAGATTGCTCTTTCAGGTTCTGCTGCAGTTTGGGTCGCTCCTCCTTGTTGCCTATGTATGTCACAAAGGAAAGACCTGGAGCAAACCTGTTGTCAGGAGAAAGACAGAGCAAAAACAGTGAGCCAAGCTAAGTCTTTCATGTGTTTATGACCTGGACCCCCATTATCAAACATAGCTACTGCACAGATAATGAGAATCTCCTATCCAAACACCCTAGCCTCCTGTGAGATGTGGTTGATCTCAGCTTTTGAATCTAACCCCTTCCTGATTAATTTGTATCTCAGGTTGGCACCTCGGCTGCCGGTTCTAGTTTGGACAAGTCCCAAATAAACTGTGTTCTCCTAGGTTTCAAAGTCCAAAGCAGATGATTGAAAACCAGTCTCATGGCCCATCTGCTATTCTGAACTGAAAAAGCTCATGAGAAGCAGGTGAATGAATACAGTTTGGTCAGTTGGGACCAAAGAATTGGCCTCAATCATGCTAAAATAAAGGCAAACAATGTCTGAGCAAACAGGTCCAAGTCAGGGCCTCAAAAATCTATCCTCTTAGTCAAAAAGCAGATAAAACTAGTTCCATGGAGGAAGAGCTGGGACCATAAAATTCTTCCTCGTTTAACCCCACCACTGATATTTGCCTAATGTTCCTCCTGGGTAGCTGTTCACTGCTGATCTATGAAGGAATGCACTTTCCCCCAACTATTCCAACTGCAAGTGTATCCAAATCAGGCCAGCTCAGTTCAGAACGTAACCTGGATGACTTCAGATGCTGAGAGACAGCATTGGCCGACAGCCACACAGACAGGCTTCTGTTCTAATCTTTAACTTTCTGCTCTCCCTCTTAAAAGGAATCTTTGGGCTCCAGCTTAAAAACGTACATATTCCAGGCATAGCAAATGTGCCACCAGCACAGTCATTGCACCCCAGTGACGACGGGTTGCATGCACAAATGTAATGTATTTTGCATGCGTATGTGAGCATGCCAAGAAAGATACTATTCAACTTGGGTCTTACCTTTCATCATACAGAATCCTGGTTGTCTTCAGCAGATTTTGCCTAAGAGAGGCTGAGCATGGAGGGTTACAAATCAATAAAAAGCAAGGAGCTAGTGGGGGCATTTGGACTGAAAGTCAGCCAATGCAAGTTGGATGAATTAATGTATACCACAGCATTGTAAAGACTATGCATTAACGGTATAGTTTGCATAGATTTGTTGGTTTAGTAGCTTCCTTTTTTACTTTTTTCCTTTTGAAAGGAAGAAAACTGTTGGACTGAGCACATTTGAAGAGAATCTTTGTAACTTGCTGTGCAAGAATATGATGAGCCAGACAACTGTTGAAACTTACCTCTCCAGTTCCTCCTTCCAGTTGCTCAGAACGGACAGAGGACAAAGTATGAGAAATCTTTCGTTGTTTGTTATTTTTTTTGTCAAATAAAGAAGTAGAGAAATAGTCTAGAAGGCAAAGAAAACAAATTTTTTGATAACAAGGAAAGGGTTCAACCCAATAGCCTGAACCTACATAAACTGTCTCCTTGTTAAGCTTTGTAGCTAGTTCCCACAGGTTCTCTAGCACAAAGCAGAGCTAACAGAATATCAAATGAGCTCCACCATCATGACAAAAAAGTTTAGATCCCAAAACATGACCTCGATATCTGGAGCCCCTTTCCAAAGGTCTTTCTCCCACAGTCAAAAAAAAGATCTACCATACATCACTTTCTAAAACTATCAGTTTGTTATTTAAGACCCATTGAATACCACCCACTGAACCAAAACACAAACAGTCATTTTCCAACAAAACTGAAACCTACGAAAAACTTAACAAAAAAACCCAAACAAACAAACAATCCTCTGAAAAATTTACACCTGTAAATTTTAATCCACGTGTTAACAAACTCAAAAATCATCTTGCTGCAGGTGCATCAAAACAACATCATCCTCTCTGTACTGGCTGTGTGCTGTGCCTTCAACTCCGCACACTATGAATTATGCATTAAGGTGTCTGTATAACATGACCACTCATCTTTTTACAAAACCCTGAAACCTTTTTAGAGAGTTACTCAGGACTTAACAGTTGTTTTAAGTGATTAAGGAATGAAAGAAACAATGAGCTCTCTCTTTTGAGCATGGACTTCAGAAAGGGGCTGCTTAACTGACCAATTGTTAGGGTGTTTTTTCTTTTTTCTTCTGCAGAAACACTGGGCTAAAAAACACAGGTAGGCAAAGATCATTTTCCAGAAGAAGAAGACACACCTGACAAGTCTTCCCAAGACCCATCTCATCACCCAGGATACAGCCGTGCTGGACCTCATAGCATTGCACCAGCCAGTTTACACCTTCTATTTGATAAGGGCGAAGCTGGATGCCTGGGAATAAGAGCAATTTTTTACACTTACACAGTCATTCAATACACTCTATACACAGTTATAGCTTGAAGCCACCAGAAACAGGTCCTGCCCAGAACAGGCCTTCCCAAACATCTGCCTTACAGGAAAAGCACACCAGTTTTCAGCAGAAGTTGGTTTACCTGGCTGGAGAGCAGAGACACCAGTGCTATAGCAAGTCCATTAAATTAAACCATATTCAGGAACTTGTACACACAAAAAATGCCCTGACTCATTACAAAGGCCTGTACAAGAAACCTAATCCAATAATTAAGCCACTACTTTGCATTCCTAACAGACGGCTTGATTTTCAGCTCCAGCCACTTTTTAAAAATAGGTAAGTACTACATATAGGGAGGCACTTTAGGCTACTGAAAATGCCCGTAACACTCTACTATTGTATAATAATAATTGCTCAGCAAGATGTTTTCCAGCTTTCCTATGCTTCAGCTAGGACAGACCTCAAGTGTAGGTCACTGTAGCTACTACCACCATTGCAATCCTTATTATGGGGCACAATATATCAAAACAATTACAAAACAAGCCAAGTAGGAGTTCTTAAGATCTTTCCTCGTACCTAGAATCAAATGCTGTGTATTGTTAATAGCGTTACGCCATTGCTGCCTTCTCCTCCCCCGGGGAAATGTACACACTGAGCGTGTGAAGTAACTCACCAGCCCTCGGGAAACAGAAACCCCAAACCAGCACAGGGACTGAAATATGGGCTCCCCACAGCTAAGGAAAACACAGGAGCAGGCTGGATAGCCCAGGCACTCCCCTTTAGCATCCACCCTTCAGGCAGCGGAAAGCGCTTTAAAGCATTCACGCTCAATGTCGACCCACTTTGAGGGGGATGGACGTTGCCCCGTGGATCTGTTCCTGCAGCACAGGCCTGTCTAAGGCTGTGCAGAGGCACGGGAGTGGTAAAAGCAGGGCTCGGGGAGCCGAGCCCCTGACCTCAACCACCCACCTCACCGCAAAGCTGAGGTAGAGCGTGACTGGAGCAACCGGGGGAAGATTTACACAGAGCAGCGAGCAATCACCGCTCTTTGCGGCAGCTGTAGCCCGCTTTTACAGGCCGGGGAGCCACCCTTATTTACACCTTTATTTAATTTCAGACCTGGGGGTTGTTAACACGGAACCCAGCCCATTACAGCTGCACAGCACCGGGCAGCCGCAGGGCCCCTCCACCGCCTCCCGCCGTCCTCTCACACAAGCCGCCTCCCGCCGTCCTCTCACACAAACCGCCTCCCGCCCCCGACGCGCGTTACCGCTACCTCCTTCCCCCAAGTAGCCCGGAGCCTGGCCGGCTACCGGCGGCAGCCCCCTAACCTGTCAGACCCCACCGGTAAATGTCCGCCTCCTCCACTCCCGGACCCGCCGCCCGGGCGCTGGCGGCGCGGCGAAGCGCTTGGAAGAAGCGAGACATGGCGGGGCAGCCTGTCAAGCACCGGCAGACACCGCGCTGTTTCTTCCCCCGCCTCCAGCTCCGGGAAGGGCGCAGGCGCCCGCAGGGCCGGCCCATCAGGCGGGGCGAGACCCGAGGACCGCCCCGCTAAAGGGAGGACTCGCTGCCGCCGGGCTCGGTGGAAGGAAAGGGTCGCCATGGCGCCGTTGCTGCTGTTGTTCCTCCTCACGTTGCTACCGGCCGCCGCTTACCTGTGCTGCGTGAGGCGGTACACGGGCAGCGCTGGGACGGTGCTGTACCGCCGGCAACCGGGCCGGGCCGAGGCGCGGGGCCGCAGCCCGCCTCGGGATCCCGTGAGCGCCGGGGAGGGCGCGGGCGGGCGGGCGGGCGGCGGGAAGCGGGGCCCGGCGTTCACCTCACGCCTTTTCTCCACAGTGGGCCCCGCGGCTGTGCGGCTCCGGGCTGCGCCTCTTCGTCCATGTGGCTAATACGGTGAGTAGGGGCGAGGGGCCGGGTGAACAAGGCGGTAAAAGCCGGGGTTGCTTGGGAAATTGTAGGCAGGTTGTGGCTCTCTGCGTGCTTTCGGGTTCACCCTGTCCCCCCCCAGGGTGGGATGCTGTGGGGAGGGAGGGAGCTGGCCTCTGGTTGAGGGTGTCACGAGTGGTTTTGGGCACGGAGGGCCCGAAGCCGACATCAAATATGGAATACAGCCACCACCGGCTTTCCTCGGACACGAAGCGATTCAGGTCCTTCAGCCCTCTTGAGCGGGGTTTTTGGGAAGGCGCTGAAGGCAGCTGTCCTGCCACTGCTCTCCTCGGGTGGGCTTTGGCGTGCCAGCGAGCCTGCGGGTTGATTCCCGCTGGGGCTGGTGTGGAGGAGGTCCGAGTCCTGTCGTGGCAGGGTGCTGGGGGGAGAAAAGCCTGCGTCCCCTTGGCGGTGAGCGCCTTGCGGCATCGTCTGCCCGAAAGCAGGTGGATTTTGTTGCTGCTGCTGCTGCTTGGCCTTTGCTTTTGAGCCTGTGTCAAGGTTAGGCACAAAAGTCTCATTTCAACAGCGTGACCTGTTACAGAGCTTGGTGGCTGGTTGGGCTTGGAGCGAAAGCTAGCAATGGGCTGTGTTTATTTGTGAGGATACCTTGCAAGTGGCTTTATTCCAGGATATAACAACCAGAATACCTTTTTATCCTTTGCTTTGCAGCCGCTTCTGGTGTGTGTCCCTAGGCTTGTTTCCTTTCCTGACATCCCCCTTGGAGGGGGGACGTGATATTCTCAATCTCCTACGGGACTGTGTTGTCTAAGATTAGATGTAGATTAGGAGCAATGCCTTTTCAAAAAGAGAACTGTAATTCTTATGCAATGTGTGAGGCAACATATCATTTCTTGGATCTGGGGGTGTGAGCCTTGCTTCAGACTTTACTGTATTTGTACATCCCTTAACATGTTTTTGAAGTCCATTGTTGAGCTATTAAGACAGGCTAGAACAAGGCTGGTCTCTTTGGGACCTCTGATGTTGCTACACTGGGAACCAAGTTATTCAAAGTGTTTTCAGATGTCTGCTACCATGGAGTCTCTAAATTTCTCATGCTTTTCCAAGTTGACTTGGTTTACTGCAGGAGCTCATTGAACGACAGGAGAGATGCTAGCAGTGGGATGAGCAAAATAATAATAAGCTTCTACCTTATCCAATGTTTGCATATCTGCAGAAGATGAAGAAAGTGAGGGATGGGAACCATGTAGATGCCTCCTAACAGGGTTGCAGCCTGTAGCTGCAGGCTTTCTGCACCAAGTCAGGGATGGACAAAGGCAGGAGAGCCAGAAGAATACTCTCTTTATAATTATATAAAGGAGAGGTGGGGGGAAAGCATTTTGGGCCAATTTTGTGGCCTGAAACAAGTATTTGTGCTATTTTTTTTCTACATAGCATTGCATGCTCTCTAGGGTGCTCTGAAACTGCAGCAATTGTGAGCACATTCAGCATTCCTTGTCTAGTGAGGAAGGTGTTTGGGTCAAAGTTACTGCAAACCAATGTTTCTGCTTACTTTCTTCCAGGCTTTTGGGCAGCTCTGCTTACTGCCGCTGTTAATAAGGTAAGAGTGGGAAGTTTTCTTCCCCTCCAAGTTTCTTTTGGTTTTTGGTTTTTTTTAAAAGGTGCTTGCATTGCATGCCACTTACAGGTTGTCTGAAATGACCTTTTCTAAGAGGGAAGCTGCATAACTTGATTGGAGAATGAGCAAGATTATTTCATAGATGTTTACTAGATTTTTTTTTTTTTAACTACTCTGGTTTGAATGGGTCTCTATCAGAAGAAATGAACTTTTTTTCACATTCAGGCAGGTGCTGAGAAACCAAATTTGCCAGCTTGCCTCTTTGCCTTTCTGTTCCTTTGCGAAAGAGCAGTCTTTCTTTCAAAGTTTGTTGATGGGCAAATTTGCTGTGTTTATCACCAGTAGTGGTAAAAGAATAGTAGTAGTGGGGAAATGAGGACAAACATGAAGTTCAGAGTTTTTAGTATGTTCTTTTTAAAGATACTATTTTATGTCAGCCTTTTCTCCTTCTCTCTCACTTATGTTGTTGTTTAGAAACTGTGCTTTCAAGTGTACATTGCACTGAGAGCTGCTCAGGTAAGAGGTGTCAGAAACCTTAGCCTCACGCTTGGCTCACATGGTTTGCCTGTTATTTGATGGGTCAGCTATGCAGATCCCAGGACGCGGAGAAATGCATTACACACAACTGGTACCTGTGAATTTTTACTTGGGGCATGGGCTTTTTGAGTGAATCAAACCCAGATAAACGTCACTGCTGTTGTACAGGAGATTATTCCTTGACACCTATGACAGGGTCTTGATTTCCTTGCTTTACATGTTCTAAGCCCTGGACTTGCACTGCAATCCCTGTTGTATTTGGTTGCAAATGAGCTGTGTTGAAGCAAATCACAGAAAAGTCTGAAGAGGTGCTTGTTTTAACAGGGTTAGTGCTTGAACGTATGGCTTATACTACTTTCTCCTTTTCTTTTCCTCTCCAGTCCTGTCTTTATTGGTCTGTGGGTGATATGACTAATTAAAGTGAATTGAAAACTCTCACCATTTCTTTCCTAGTTTGGGTTTACGGAGGCTGGCTGGCCTTATGTCAAGTGGTAGGAGGCTTTGTTAAGCAAGCAGAGTAGATTTGATGCTGCCTTTAGAAAAGGTGTGAGAGATTATCTTGTAACTGTTGCAACTCCCTGCTGTGAGCGCAGACTGCTAAGACAAAATGTTCTTTGGTAAGTTTCCCTGTGAATAGTCTGAAAAATTAGTCATGGTAGAGCTTGCAGACTTTAGCAGTGACTCTCTTTCAGGCTGAACAACTTCTCGCTCATGCGTTCACTTGACATTCATGAAGATCCCACGTTTATCCCAGAGGTTGCTGCGGAGGTTACAGAAGACAAGTCTGAAGCTAAAAGCACTTCGGATATTATTGAGCAGCTGATAGATGCAAGGTCAGTATGTGATAGGTAAGAGTGGAGTGGAAGAAAACATGTGTTGGCACTATTATGTTAGCGGGAAGCTGTTGTTGTCAGTAATCTGGATTAAAATCTTTTTCCACGCCCACCTGCTTTACAAAACAAACAGTGCTGTCAGTCATCTTTCCTGTTGTAACTTATAAATCACTGGTAGTTACAAGTAATGTGAAGTTTCTACAAGTTTCAGGGAGTCTGTTTATTGTGGAGAGACCAAATTCTGCCCTTTCCAGGGCTCTGGTTGCACTATTAGAACAGATACACTTAGTGGTTGGCTAGTAAGTGCATACATCCCTTTAAGTGAGTTTGCAGATGTGCTGTTTCTTGCCTGCAAGGAATCTCAAAGAGAACACAGGGGTTGCGTGGAGGAGAGAAGGAACACAGGTTAGAAAGAAAACGATCCACAAGAAATTAGGCTTTGTTAGTGAGGTTGCTTGGATAAAAGCTGGTTCAGCTTCTTGATTGCAGCCTGTACTTGATTAAATCCCACAAGATTCCAGGCAAAATGTTACTCAGACTCGCATGTCTCGCTGTGGTCTGATGCTGAGGTGGGAGCAGCTGAGCTGCTATGAATGCTCTCCCCATCTGGTTTTGGTTCTTAGTTGTGGCCCTATCCAATAGTTACTGAAAATGTCTATGAGCTGCACTTCATCAGTGTTGCAGAGGGTGGGTTCTCTGTATGTACCTGGGCTTTTAGCAGGACTAAGCTTGCCCCCTGCTTGAGTTCTTAAGCTAGAGCAAGGAAAAACTTTCATCTCCTTCACTTCAGAGGGAGGCATGTATTTCCTCTAGGCATTGGTCAGGGTGAGTGCAGCCTTTTGGTTCTTGTGTCCCCAGCTCCACTAGTGATACATTGAGTATTACAGGGCAGGTTACTGGAGCCTTACCTCTTCCCTGCATAGCACATCATGGTGCCGTATGGTGTCCTATTCCAGGATATGGCTTCTGGTTTGGGTGATGATATGGAGACATCACAGGAGTAGTGATTGTAGCTAGCTCTTCAGCTGATCTTACAATCATCCTGTTGTGATGAGAAATAGTCTATTTCTTATGTGCTAGAGCCATTGACTTAGTTTTTAAGCAGTTTGCTGATGTGTATCCTTGTGTGTGCTGTATAGTGCCTTTTCCCCCTCCTGCACCACACGCTGTATATGCTGCTGGATATCTCTGGATCGAACTTGTGACAGATCCTGGGAGTAGGTTTATGAGTATATTCTAGCTATTCTGTAATGTTGCAGTGGTGAGTAGCAAATGTAAACCTGAAATAAGTTTTGAACAGTTTAATGACTGCTGTGTTGCAGTAGAAATATGAAGCAACTAGAACATGTCAGCAAGACTGACCCCATATTTCTTTGGCACCCTTAGTGTACCTGGTGTCTGTCATGTGTGCAAGGAGTCTGACAGAGTGCAAGCTGAAATCCATAGGCTAGCGGTCCAAACGGTGACCAGCAGGTTTACTGTGAGTGAGTGATGCCCAAACCTGCATCGGACTGTGATGCTGAAGTCTACAGGTCTAAACAGAGGTGGCTTTGACGGTTCACAATTGCCCTTTTAATTCTTTGCAGGTCTGATTCTGCTAGTGATGGGTTTAGCTTCAAAGGGATCAAAGACTACCTGGACTGCTACCGGTAGGTGAAATTATGGTCTGGAAGCAACCTGTCTCACATGTTCCCCTGCTGTGGGCTAGTACTGTTCCACAAGCTCTCAGGGGTCTCTTTGTTAGGATTGTCCTTGAGGCACCAATGTTTAGCGTCACCCTCTGCAGTCCTTTCCCCCTAATAGAATAATGAAGGAAAGCCAACTGGGAGAGCTGGCACAACTTTTACAAGCCCTGCAAGGATATTTAAATGCTGCTTTCCTTGGCTTATTGTCAGTCTTCACTGGGAGAGATTTCTACGTACCTTGTTTACCCAGACATGTGAGTGAGAAGGAGAGGAAGGTTCATCTGGATGATGCGAGTTGCACATACTGTGGGTCTCTGAAGAATCCCTTGGTTCCCCAGCTGCTTGTGCTCCTGTGAGCAGTTTCCCTGCTTTCACCCAGTAAGTGTGTCCAGTTTGGAAAGAGCTGGAAACACATCCCTGACTCTGAGGTTTTGTGAGCTGTTGGCTGCTCAGTAACTCCTGGCTGCCTCTGGGACATGTGCCAGGTGTGGAATGCTCAGATAAATCCTCTTGTCCTCCCGGCCCTTGTTCGTCAAGGACGACCTCTGCCAGCAGGTTGTGGCCTTGGAGCAAAAGGCTGACACTGCAGTCTGGTGTTATAGGTGCATCCTGACTGTGAGGCTTTTGTGTCAGCCAGAGGTAGATGTGTTTGTGGTGCAACTTAGCCTTTTGCCAGGAGGGAGGGAAGGCCTGTTTGTTGAAGGGGAGTTATGATGGTACTGCTGGGAGCCCCTTCTCTGTAATGGAAGGCCTGTATAAAGGGGGCTGGCCTCTTGGTCTCAGCTCATGATATGGGGAGTTTCATAGCCTCAGGCTTTCAGGAGCTTGAGGACTCTTCTTAAAGCTGTCAGCTGTCCTTCCCTGTTTATCTGGGTAACTGTCCTAGCTCCTGCCCCTACTTTAAGGGTTGGGGGTGTGCTGTGTAGGCAAATTCTCCCCTTAAGGAAGGGAGTGTCTCTTGATGGTGTCAACTGTGTTGAAATTGTCACTACACACAGATTCTTATCTAGTTCTTACTTACAGCTGTGACAGCTGCCATCTTGCTTCATGAGAGACAAAACCTGTGTGTTAGTGTGGTGTGTGGGCGTCTTGTAACAAGGTCCCAACTTCTCCTGTCCTGTAGGAGTGGGAAGCTGACGCCATCTCAGGTAGCAAAGAACATCATTGCCATGTTGGAGGACTGCGACAAATCCACGCCCCCACTCAGAGCGATAGTGCAATGGGACCAGGAGCAAATAATGCTGGTAATGTCTGCCTCTGGTAGAAAACAAGCAGAGGCTCTTCTGCTGATATATTGCACAGAAAAATATGTACGCTTTTCCTCCCTCCTTGTGTAGACGACTACAAACAAGTTTGCTTTCCTTCCTGCAAAGAGAGGTAGCATTAAAGCAATCTGTTTCCTGCTGGACAGCTATGTTTAAAATGGGACTTGTGTGCTTATGTGGCATCCGTTAGCATAGATGCTTCCAAGTAGTAGTTTCCCATCAGCATATGGTGGAAGGAGAAAGAAACTTTTATAGTTTGGCTTAGTAGCAGCCTGAGAAAGCTGTTTTTTGTATCTGTTCTGATACTGGTAATGACCTTCAGCTTAACTAAATATATATAACATACACTTTTTTTTTTCTCTGTGCAGATGGCTGAGGCCTCCACTGCTCGTTACAGAAATAAGTGTACGCTGTCTTATCTGGATGGCATCCCAGTGTGTCTGAAAGAAGAGTTCAAAGTGGTGAGTTTCCTTGTCTAGCTGTCGGTTTATGCTGCAGGTGGTCAACCTAGACAACTCACTGCGACAAGCTTTTAAGGCCAACTCCTCAGCAGAAGCCTGAGAATATGTTTGTAATAAGGTGTAGTATGTGGGTTTGTAATGAGTAGGATTAACAAGTTTTGCCAGGTGAAGACAGATGTTGGGTACAACAGACGTGTTCTGTAACTCGTACTGATCTCTTTAATCCATGGGGAGTAGAGGGTGGGGGTGAGAAACAGTCCCTCTTGTGATGAAATGAGAATGTATAAAAGCATCTGTAGCAGTGGGTATGACTGTATTTCTCAGGCACTGACTCTGCTCCACTGGCAAAGTATCCCTCTCTCTTTACCTTAAAGGACATGTGTCAGAAATACGCAAGTTACTTTGAAAAGCCCCACTCACAAGGAGTTTTGCCTGTGGCCAAACAACAGTTACCATTAAATACTCCTGGCAGTACAGTCAAGCTGTCATAGGCTCTGCAGAGACCTACCCATAGGGTGGGAGTCCTGTTTATGTACAGGTTCTTCCATTGCTGCCTCAAAGTGAAGAATACTTAGCATACCCTGAAAATGAGTCCATCTGGTATTTTGGCATTCATCTAATCTTGGTGCCTTGCTTCAAAACACTGCAGATCTGAAACGCTGCAGCTCTGTCTGTAGAAAAATTGAAAAGAGAGCTGCTGGGAGGCAGGCTTTTTTACCATCTACATGTTTCTGCTCGTTTGTATCGTGGTATTAAAAGGACTCCTCTGCATGGGAGAAGGACCAAATATTGAAGGGTTAAGTGTCTCTCCAACACAGGACAAGTTAAAGAGTGAAGCTTCCTAGCCCTTACTTACTTCTGTGGGTCCTAATGTCTAGGATCCTTTGTGGAGTTGAAGTGTGCACGTGGAGCATGCACGTCTGCCTGCCTACCTTGCCAGGGTTTTAGGATGAGTAATAAGGTGTCTTCTTGCTAAGGTACCTTACCATCACCGAGTGGGAACAGTGTATCTTGGGACGGAGCCCGAAACAGAAGATGCTACTGTGACCAAGAAGCTGCGAGAGGCTGGGGCTATCATTATTGGGGTCTCAAACATGCACGAACTAGGGACTGGAACAACTGGATGCAACCCTAATAGGTAAAAATCCCTTTCTCCTCTCTTTCCCCTGGTCTAGAAGTACCTAAAAGTCTGTCCAGAACTGACAGGGAAGGGTACGAAAATAGAGCAAGCATGTGAGAATAAAACTGATGGAGGCATCTTGTGCAGGGAGAACCCCGGGGGTATGAAAACCCAGCATTGTATATTTGAGGGTCAGAGTAGTCACAGAAGCCTGAAGGCTCCTGAAACCAAAGGAAGGAGAGGATCCAAGTGGCATCTGCTGAGTAAGGAACTTGGTTTGCTGGGCCCTATAGGCCTGGAGGTGTGAATGTTTACAGGATGAGTGGTAGACAAAAGCGGTGACAGAAAACAAATAAATAGTAATCTAATGCTCAGTCACAGTAATGGCTGAAGGCCCAGAACAGTGAGAAAAAGTACAGTCATCTCAGGAGAACATAGTAATTTTATTTCCTAGCTAAACCAGGCTCACTGGAATTTGCTTTACTGTTGTAAATTCTCCAGCTATAACCAAGCTGAGAACTGCTATTCCAGACCCATGGTCCTCACAACCTTGATAAGCCATGTGTAGAGCCACGCTTTGTGCCCGTGCAGCTGGATAGAACTGGGGCTCCCCCTCAGCTGCAACAATGTGCCAGGGCATTTCCTCACTGTGTGAGGTCAGCTGGATACCCTGCCACCTGGCAGGTCTCTTTGGTGTCTGGGGACTGTGGTCAGACTGGAGACACTGGGAGCTGCTGCTCTGGGATAAAGGGCAGAGCTGGGGATGCTGACTTGCTTGTCTGTAAGAATTGCTGGCCACCAACTGCTCCACCTTTTGGAGTTGCATAATGCACTGTGGCACAGTGCTGTCACAGACAGAAGAGCTGGAGTGGCGTCCTTTGTCTTGCTTTGAGTCTGTCTCTTTCGGGTAGGCTGCTTATGGTAACAAGAGATTGGGCTCTGAGGCAGAAGTCTTTTTTTGCATGTTGTTTTCTACGGACATAGCACTATCTGGGATTTAATGGTATCTCTTTACTAAGAGATCAGAATCCCTGAGCTGTGTTTCTGGATCTTTTCCTGCCCTGTACTGCACGTGGTCCTTCCTATGAAAAAATTCAACACTATTTGTCTGCTTCAGGTACCACAGGATCCCTAGGAATCCCTACAAGCCTAACCACTTCACAGGTGGGAGCTCCAGTGGGTCAGCAGCAGCTGTAGCAGCAGGTAGGTGGTCCTAAATGGAGTTCAGGGGTGGTGGGAGGAAGGTCCTGAGGCAAAGTACCTTAGGCATTTAGTTTTTATGAGGGGGTTTAGAAGCTGGAAGGAACTCCTAGCTGAACAGAGCACTGTGTGCTTTCTTGGCTACAGTGGCTGGTAGAATGGACAGGGCAACACGATGTCTCTCTGATCACAAGCCAACATGTGGGGTTTTTTTGTAGGTCTCTGCCCAGTGGCTATTGGCACAGATGGAGGTGGCTCTGTGAGGATTCCTGCTTCGTTCTGTGGTGTGGTGGGCCTGAAAGGTAGAGCCCTTTAATTGTGGAGGGGATGTGTGTCTTGTTTGCTGTATCAGATAGAATGCCACAAACAAGTCAGGCATAGTCCATTAATTCCTGTCAAGCAAAACTTGTCTAACACCCTGAGAGTCACGTGGGTTGCTCTGACAGAATGGAAGTATTCTCAGTACCAGGTATTGAACAGATGTGCAGAAAAAACCCTAACTTACTTAAGTCAACTGCTAAATAAAACGTGCTGCTTTTCTTTCTACCTACTGGTCCCTCTTCAATCTTGCTTCTTTGCTGGGACATGTTCCCAACATAGTTGGGCATCTGTAGTGAGCTGGTGAAAAGCATCTCCACCCACGATGGTTCGCCATCATCCCAATTATACGGAGAGGCTGATGCTGCTCAGATTTGTATCTGGTAAGTTAAACCTGGTAATAGGCTTGTATGAAACCAGGATGTAGCCATTCCCTCTTATTTCAGTATTACAAGAAGTAGCAACGCAGTTTTTGCAGTAAGACTATAATCAAGTAGAATGTGCAGAGGACATAAGAAATGCACAGGGCAGTGTCTACAGTGTGGAAGGTGGCAAGACAGGATTGTCACTTGGAAGAGATGCTGGCTTTTGAGAATGGTTTATCATTCCAAAGGATCTCAGCTGCTTCATCTGAGAGCAGATACTCAGCCATTACCCTTTTTCCATCCTTCACATGTGATCAACTTGATTAATCTTGATTCACCTGAGGAAGATGATAATGATGATGACAAAAATGAAACTGGTCAGAAAGGTGATACAAGTACTTGCAGAAGACAACTGGTGTAGGCATGAAGTCTCACTGGCAAAGTGTGTGAGATCTCCCAGGGGGTGGCATCTCCCCGCTGTTGATAATCCTGCTCCTGTGTCTCCATCCTCCATACCATATGCTGCTTCTGCATATTTAAATGCACGTATTTCAAAACATCCTTGCAAATATTTCCCCTCAACTAAATTTCTTATGGGGGAAAACAGTTTCACTGTTGAATGCATCTGTTTCACTGATGAGACAGATCGTGGTCAGCAGAACAGGGTACTGAAAGATGAGTGACTGGGCTCTGAAATGGCAGACATAAAAGTAACTGGCACAGGGGTATGTCGCTTACTGACTGGGGGCACCAGAGCCATCTAGGTCAGATCTTGCCAGTGACTGCTGATATCTAGCTAACTGCCCATTTCTTTTTCTCTAGGTACGTTTGGGCGCATCAGTTCTCAAGGCAGCTTGCCACTCTCCTACTCCACAGTCAGCGTAGGTAAGAGGACTTGTGCTCCACTTCAGGGACCTTGCTGTGTGGTGGTCTCATAGGGGAGGCAACGTGTGCCTGCAAAAGACCTTGGGAGGAAGGTACTATTTACCCCTTGTTGGATTTTTACAACTGATGTCTCTTTTACAGGCCCTATCTGTACCTCAGTGGCAGATGCAGCCATTGTTTACAGTATCCTTGCTGAGCCAGATCCGCTCTATCCATATGGTAGGTGAGCTTGCTCCCTCCCCGAGCCCAGGTGCTCTGCCTTCCTAGAGGCATTCTAGATAAAAGGAGGAACTCTTGTTTGTTCCCTGCAGGACTAAAACAGCCCAAAGCAACCCTATCTGGTATGTGTGCTCCTGACCTGAAAGGCTTAAAACTGGGAGTGGACTGGACGTTTTTTAAGGTGCCTGTTCTATCTCTCTCTTTCCGCTGCTTTGCAAAATTAGATTCTAAAGGAATTCAGTGCATTCACTGTTCTCTTGCCTGTTATCATTAGAGCTTCTCATATTTAGTCCTATAATTGGAAGAGAATATAGCCTGGTTGAAAACATCTACAGGGATAGATTTTTTCCCTAAGGCAGCCTTTTGAGTAAGTCTGTTGGAGGCACGAGGAAAGGTAACAACTGTACAGTTGATGGCAGTATGCTTCCTCATACTGCTGTTTCTATTGGAAGCACTGCTTCTGAACTGATTACAAAAGACAGTTTAAAATCAAATGAGGAAAATTAATTTATCCATTTGTTGACGATGCTGTAACTGCTGAGTGGTATTTCATCATTCCAATGTAGAAACTGGGCTTGCAAGCTAGTACCACTTGGCAATTGTAATGCAACCCCACAAACGTGCTCAGAATTTCTTCCCTGGAGGAAAACAAGGACTCTTTCTGGCTCTGCCCCAGTGCAGAGGAGGAATATCCTCTCCTCTGGAAAAGACAACCTTCTCTTTTCTTTAGCGGTGTGACCTGCAAGCTGTTATTTTGGAGTAGGTGGCCTAAGGCAGTCCTGGAGGGCTGTGTTTCACTACCATTAGGGACAGGAACAAGGAAAGCTCCATGAGGACCAAAGTCCTGGTGAGTGTGCTCACCAAGGAGAGGAGAGCAGTTACTAAAGTCTACTTAGTTCTTTCCTCTTATTCTCTAGGCATGTGATGCTGAAATCCTGTCCATCTGTGAGAAAGGTAAAGAGGAAAAGTCTGTAAGTCTCTTACTCTGCGTGATGTCATGGTATCACTTGGTGCTCCTCTTATGTATGCATTAAAAAGATCTTGCCTGAAGTCCTTAAAGGCAGATGCTTAAAGAGGTCTGGCTGGACAAACAGCAGTAGCTTTGTATTGGGGAAGCCCTCCTGACTGCTGAGGGTTAAAAAGCTCTGCAGTTGTAGGCTTGTTGGGTTACAATGGAAGAATGCAGTCCAGTGTGCTAAAGCCTCTGTCTGTATAAAGACAGATCTGTGTTCAGTAATACTTACTGTGCAAGCTTTAATGGTAAAAGACTTCTAAGGGAGGGACTTGTTTCACAATATAATGTTCAGCAGGAAAGACAAGGCTAGATCTTTGTGATGTATCCAGTCCTCTGGTATTTCCTTGAAATCAGCCAAATGGTGCCTTTAGGGTGGCTTTGTCAGATTTTAGACTAAGAAAAATTGACCCTGGTGAGTGCTCGGGGCTGGGGCAGAAAGACTCTACAATGCCTGGTATAGTAGTTGGCCTCCTATGCGTTGGAGCCGAGATAGTTCACGTTATTCTGGCTGTTTGCCTGGATTTTCTTCAGCCTCCTTATTTCCACAGACACTCACGCTTATACATGTGTAGAGTTTTCTTAGGAGAGATGCACCATAAGCAAGTGAAACAGGCAAGCTTGGGTATTTATGAAGAAGCTGGGGTCAAACAAAGAAGGGGATTCTTTTCAGACAGCAAAAGATTCACTTATCCCAAAGTCTTGGTGTTCAGCCTTGCTAAAGTGCATCAGGATTTAGTGAACCTGTACTGTTGACCTGGTCTCTTGAGTATCCCCCGAGTTCTCTACCGTTATGGTTCAGAATAGGCTTTGAATGGGAATCTCATGATGCTAAATAATCACTTCATGCTGATAGAATACTGGTCAAGTCAAATGCATGGGGAAGCATTGTCTGTCCACCTTTACTCTTTGGGTTAACTGGGGGGGCTAGAGGGAGGAGATGAACATGCTGGAAATGTAGCAGTTAAGTTAGGAACCCGTCTGCAAGCCCCTATCCCTGCCCTGTTGGAATACTGAGATCTAGCTAGACTGAAGGCTTTTACCTACGAGAAGCAGCTGCAGCAGTCTGCATGGCACATGATGCACTGAAGATGCTGGCCTTGTAACGGCCTATGGGGTCTCTTAGCTTCTCAAGGGGGTGGGGATTTGCAGCCCTTCTATAAAGTTTGGTGAACTCAGGGATGCTGTCTGTGCTTTACCTGTTCTGTACGCAGCTGTGGAGCACCTGCAGAGTTTGGGAGCCAGTGTGGTTGACGTGTCTCTTCCAGAGATGGAGGAAGTGCGAGTAGCACATGTAATCTGCATTCTCAGTGAGATGAGGGATTTCCTGCAACCTGACTTCAATAAACACTTCCACGAAATGGTAAGTACCAGCAGCTTGGATCAGTGCCAGTAGTTGTCCCGGCTGATACAGAACAAGTGTCACATCAGTGAGAAACCTGAGGCTCTCCTGCTTTTTGTATGACAAACCACGCGTTGGATGACTACTGATACAGGAGAGCAGACCTGGAAGACCTCCTGGGCTGTCACACTCAGTTTCTTGCAAGCAGAGCCATGATCGATGTTTTCTCTTTCAGAATTTGGACACTCGGGCTAACCTGGCCTTGGCTTCCCAGTTCACAGCTCTGGATTATATTACGGTAAGGAACATACTGTGGTGAAGGCTGAAGGGAGGCACCTAGTGAAATTGTAAAGGTGAGGTAGAGGATTCTCTTAACCTCCCCATACATGCCAAAAGGTATGATCCAGCTGTACTGCCCTCTCCTGTGAAAACATGCTGAATGGTGGGGCACCACAGAGGACATGCCACCTGGAGTGGTGTCCTGCGCCTTGATTCCAAACCGCAGCAATTGTGTCATCTTTTGCAAAGGCATAGGTTCTGATGGGCAGAGTTTGTCATCGTCAAAACATGAGCCTTGTGAACCAAGAGGGCCTGGTCAGACAGTAGTCTCTCTGCTTGCAGGCAAATCGACAGAGAACTCGGAGCATGAGATTTTTGCAAGAGATCTTCACCACTGTGAACTGTATCCTTACACCAGGTATTGGCAGCCTTGGCCAAAGAGCTGGTCCCCAACAGCTCCGTGGTGCATTTTAAGAACAGTCACTCCATTAACTTTCCCTTCCCAATTTTAAGACCATGACTTTTTTGCAAAGACTTTGCTGTACCTCAAGCCTTTAGAAGAAAATGCAGCCTGGTTAGAAAGATTGCTGTGTATTTCTAGACTTACTGCCTATATCCATGGCAATGAGAAACTCCTTGGTACTTGAAACAGGAGCTGCAGAGCCAGCACTTTTACCCTGGAGGGACTGGACATGTATTTATGTATGAAGATGTTCTTGCTCTAAATAGAAACTAACTGCTTAATTCATAAATCCCAGCAAATTGTGTTTCAGGGGTGTGAGTTTGCATCACCAATGTATATCAAACATGTGGCTTTAATGAACTGAGCTGTTCTTGAAGACTGCCCATGGCCTGACTCTTCCTTTGCTCTTTAAGCACTGGATCAGGTTGCCCAGAGAGGCTGCGGAATCTCCATCCCTGGGGATATTCAAAAGCCATCTGGACATGGTCCAGGGCAGCCTGCTCTAGCTGACTGTCCTTGAGACAGAGGGTTAGACAAGATGACCTCCTGAGGTCCCTTTCAGTCATCTCAATCATTCTGTGATTCCTCCACAGCTGTTGCTTCCACTGCCCCAAGAATCTATGAATCTGACCTCTTGACTGGGAGCAGCGATTCGTCATTCACAGTCCGGTCCATGAGGTAAGAAGAGTGCTGCTTGCACTATGGAAGCAAAAGTTTGGGAACAGCTGGAGACTAGCTGTACTAACTGAAGGAGAGGCTGTAGAGCAGGAGAGATTGATCCTAGCTGCCTCTCCCAAAAAAGGATGACTTTACTGCTGTCCTAGGGCAGAATGCTGATGACAGCTTTTCCCCCAGGTTCATGCAGCTTGGTAACTTCACTGGGATTCCATGCCTTGTGGTCCCCGTTGGATATTCTACTGCTGGGCTTCCTATCAGCTTCCAGGTGAGTACTGGCTCTTTGTGAATGCTGGGTCACAAAATCCCCAGCTGGCTTTGTCCTGAATCACTATAACCACGTTCCTGCTGTTCCACACAGCACACTCGAGGAGTTGGCAGGTACTGGTAATAAAGTTTTAAGTTGCGGGTGAAGAGACTTGCCTCAGAGTAACACTCCTGAATGGCAGAGGGACTCTTCAGGTATCTGGGAGATAGATTTCTCTGTCTCCCTGTCTACTTGCATCAGTACCCACTATTTGTCACTACTCTTTTGTCTCTTTTCCTTATTTCTCAGTTCTGTAACTTCTTTAAGTCCTTCCTTGCTCTCCTCCCTCTTGAAATGGGTCTCATGTAAATGAAAGGTCCGTGTCTTTTAATTAAGTCATACAGCTGCCTTTATCCCAATTGCACTGATGCCACACTTACCGGGGTAAAAGGGAAAAGCATGTGTCCTTTTGGTGCTGTTGCAAGGGGGGGGGGGGGGGGGGGAAATTAGTTTTGCAGGGCTTTGCAGAGCATCTGTATGTGATGATGCTACTTTTCTCGTTTGTTTTTTTTTTTTTTTTCCCCCTTTCTCTCTGTCTCTCATCTTCTCCCAGGTCATGGCAAAATGGTGGGATGAAGCTGTTCTTCTGAGAATTGGCCTGAAGCTAGAGCAGTTTCGTTACCAGACAAAAAAACCATCCATTTATTATGACATCCTCGCATGATAGAGTGGCTAAGATAGGGACTAATTTTTTTTTTCCTAGTCTGAGCTGACCAAGTATTAGAGTGGACTTGTTTTCAATGTTCATCTGAATAAGGCTTAGTAGCAGCCCCATTTGAGGAATGGGGAGGAACACTGATCTAAGCAGCCACTGATGCTGAGCAGGCATCCTTTCTGCTCCCTGTTCATTACTGGATGGCCCAGTTTATACTGGGGAGACCAACCGTGCTAGCTAGTTCCTTGCTGTGTTTTCGCCAATAGGGGAAGCTGCAACTATCTTCTGTGACATCTTTCTGTGTAGAGGTCCTGTGTAAACATGGAAGACAGCTGCATCTACAGGACTGTATGTGGGCAGTTCATACTACTGTGCATGGAAAGGTACAATCCTAGCCCTTAAACCTCACAGAACTCCTCCTGCTCCAGGATATAACAAAGGTACTATTTTGAAGGGGAGAGGCAGCTTCCCTTAAGAAATAATGCCTAGCTCCCTTGGAAGGAGGAGGATCTTAACACACCTGCCAATTAGGTAGCGTGTGTTGTGGCCCTTTACTTAGTCCCTCAGAGCAAAACAGAAAGCCTAGAGCTATGGAAGTGTCACTGTGCTTCTGTCCCTTACGCTGCAAACAGTGTAAGGTCAGTCTAAACGTTGCACAAAGTCTGGTTGTGCTCACTGCATGAGTAGTCCTACCTACCTTCAGCCTTACATGCAAGGGGAGGAAAAAGCACAGCATGAACCTTCATCAACTCTGTGACCCAAAGCCCTGGTTCAGGGTTCTGGCTTTCTGTTGCACATCTCTATTTCCCAAGCTAAGCCTTGGAGAGCCTCTTTTCTCCCACTGGTTGCTTAACTATAAGCCTACTATCATTTAGGTGTGTAAATGGAAGAAATTATCTGGTACTGCTGTGAAGTATTGTTTAAGGGGTGCTAAGACAGCTATTACAGACAGGTGAAATTTGTGTGGTACTGAAAGTAGGAAATGCTACTGAGCTACTGCAAGAGCTCAGGGACACCTTATTACAGCCTTTCAGTACTTAAAGGGGGCCTATAAGAAAGATGAGGACAAGGACAAGCTTTTTAGTAAGGCCTGTTGTGATAGGACAAGGGGTAATGGTTTTAAACTAAAAGAGGGTAGATTTAGACTAGATATAAGGACAAAATTTTTTGGTCAAACACTGGAACAGGTTGCCCAGAGAGGTGGTAGATATCCCATCCCTGGAGACATTCAAGGTCAGGTTGGATGGGGCTCTGAGCAACCCGATTTTGTTGAAGATGTCCCTGCTCACTGCAGAGGGCTTGGACTAGATGACCTTTAAAGATCCATTCCAACCCAAACTATTCTATGATTCCAAGAGTTGAAGCTGGGTGCAAGAAAGGTGTTGCACAAAGCCATGCGCAGCAGAGAGCCTGCTCTAGATCAGAGAGGGGCTGGCTTCTTATCCCAAATGTGCTTCCTGAAGCAATCAAGGTAGAATTAAGACACGCATTAAAGGTGAGGGTATACTACATAAAGCATGACATTACAAGAGGAAAAGCTAGAGAAGACTATACTCCTACAAGAATAGGCTCTAAGCCACAGTACTGTGTTTTGCTAGAAGGCCCCTGACTGTAAACTGCCAAGTACCTGTGTCCTGCCAGCAGCACTAGGGCCACATGAAAGATAAGAAAAGGCCTAAGAGTAACTAAAGCTAAGCATTTGTGTTTGTTTTGGAGTAGCTTGGGGTTAATGCTCAGAGGCATCTCCTGTTGCCTACCTCATCAAGTATCCTGGGCTTGTGATCAGGCTGCTGGAGAAGCTGTCCTACAGACAGGAGCAGAGAAGATTGCTGTATTCTTAGCTTGGAAGGACAGAAGGAACAGAAAGTAGTTGCAGGTTCTCCCAAACTCTGCATAGTTTGGGGTTTTTTTTCCCCTCATACATACCCACTCTTTAAAGAGAGCTAGCACTTTAGCCATTAGTAAAGTTAAGTCAGATGGCATCTGAATGGAAGAATGTTGCATTGCTGTGTCCTCCTTAATTACTTGAGTTAAAGCATGAACTCCTACCATCAGCTGTCACCAGCATCCAGGAAAAAGTTAAATTAATTATATGGTTGATAACTGTCTTTTATCTTCAATGCTTCTATGTGATACTGCCACAACTTTTTTCACTAGATTCTAGTATAGTTCAGCTTTATGAAGCACAGTTTAAAAGCAAAGTATTTCCTCTATTACTAATGATAAGTTATTAAACTCTACCAACATACCTTAGAGTGAAACACCACTGAAATGCATTGTATAGCAATAAGAGAGTTGGTAAGTGTTTGACAAGAATAAATTTCTGCCAGGAACATTACTGCTTGAAGGAAATGGTTGAATGTTCCCTAATTTAATGCTATTACTCAAGGGATTAGAGATAGATGTTTAAAATAATCAATTACCATCCTGCTAGATGATGCTATTTATTTCAAAAATCTTCCTAAATAATACACTACCTTGAAATTACAAATTTCAATCTTTAGTTCATTCTCTGGGTAGAGTGAGGGAACTCAAGTTACTAGGAGGCTAAATAGCAGCTAAAGTAAAGTTTATTTTTTAAAAATAATACTTGCATCCTGATACCAGTGGGAAGAAGAAGGAACTGAGAGCTTTTACTGACTGACAGTAACTTAGCCTGTCTCTCCGCACACTGCTTCCTCCCTTCCCCTAAACCAGTATCGCATCAGTGCACATTTCCAGTGCAAGACTTCCCTGGTACTGAGGTTACTAAGATAAACTTTACTTATCCTGGTGAAAGGCCCCTGTGTTTCCTTTCTTCCCCTGGCTGTTAGCTTATCCAAGTTCTCTACAGCAGACCAGTTCCTAATTAACGGCAGTTCTATCCCTACGGTATGCAATAGCAAGGCAGTTGTGTGAGCAAAGCGGACACAGTGACCACACACACAATCCTGTTGCTTCACATAGATATATGTATGGGTATAGATATACGGTATATACACACTGATTTTTTTTTTAGATATATATAAAATAACACCTTGTTTATAAAGCGACATTTAATTGCCACTGGTTCCCTTCCCGCCCCACAAAAACAATAGTATACAAAATATAAAATATTTTAAATATTTATAAACGCCGCAAGAAAAAAATAGAACTGTACGAAAATATTTTTTTTTCTGAGGTTCCCTCCCTGCCCTGGGGGAAGGGAAAGAGAAGCGGTACACGTTTGGCCGGCCTAGTGTGCCTTGAGTCCATAGTTGTTAAGTGGATAGGAGTATGCCCTGCCTAATACTATCCGGTCCCGGAGGAGCTTAAATAAGACATAGTAATTGCAGAAAAGGATGAGGGCCATGGAGAGGGTATGGTTCCACTTCTCTGAGCGCAGCAGTGAGTAGAGCTGGTAGCAGACCACACTGCCTTCGATGAGAATCAGCAGGTTGAGCAGCCGTAATGGACGGTGAAAAAGGAACTGCAGGGAAACAGTTAAAAAGGACAGATTTCTTTAATTTGTTGCAGTGTTACAGTGGGGAGGGGTACGTACATAATACTGTCAGGCACCACTGAGCTAGCGACCACTGTGCTGTGCAGAAGAAATGTTTGTACTCCAACCACCACTAGCTGGTACTTAGGGGAAGCAGCATAAGAAACAAGGCATGTAGAAGCGTGATTTTGCTTAAGAAGGGGAGGCTGGTGAAATAACCTATTGGCCAGCTGACATACTTTCCCATTTCCCTGGAAGATGTTAGCCAGAACCCTCTTACGAATATGCCACTGCCTGATGGGAGAGCTGTGTCACCATGATGAGAAAGCACTGACAAGGCAGCCATGGCTTCCATCTTGCCCAGAAATCACTGCAATGGGAAAGCCTCTCTGCTGCAAACAGGTATTTTGTTCAGCAGCAACAGGCTGTTGCGCAGCACTGAACTCTTAATCTGCTCTGCTGCAGCTAGGTTTGAGCCTCTCCTCCCTCCCACAATCATAACATGTCAAGCAAGAGAAGAGATACTTGCATAAAAGCGGGCATGGGACACATCTGAAGGCACTGCTACGTTGTAAGGCCCAACTGCTTTATACAGGCATCGGCTACGTCGCACCAGAACTCCTTGTGGCCATATTGTGTTTTCTGACCAGCTGTGGGGAAAGAATGCCAGAGAATTAGCATCTGTGCTCCCAACTCCCTGAACATGGGTTCACAGGAATGGACTGTATCTTAAAAAATATCAAAGCCTCCGCCACGAGGACGTGTTGTAGCTCCCACTGGAAAAGCACAGAGAGGTGATCACAAGCCCACCAGATGGACTCAGACTGAGTAACATGAACAAATGGCTCCCAGCGCAAGAACCTAGCCCGCTGCATCAGAGGGGGCCACCCCCTGCCCTTGCACAAGCTACTTCTCCAGTGGCCAAGAAGAATCTCGGCATTTGTTTCTGGGAAGGAACCAGCACTGACCGGAGGAGCTCAGACAGCTCTCTAGAGCAGACGATTCTGTTTCTAGGGAACAGAAAGACCAGGAGAGTTGCATCTGTGACCCCTGGCACTGTGGGGAATGGATAAGTGTCCTCAGTAGATAAGCACTGCTAATACTTGCTTATCTACTAGAATGTCTTCTCAGCCCCTTGCTAGGCATGCCAACCCCTCCTCATCCCCACACTCACATATGCTGTGGAGCATTGCTGTAGGAACCATGTTCTAGTTTCTGCCACTTGCCGAGGTGGGCAGCTGATCTGTGGAGCAGGTCACAGTACTTGGGAGGCAGCAGTTGAGTGGTGAGCATGACAAAGGCATTGATCCACACCATGATGAGGTGCTCACAGGACCAGCGCATGTCGTAGTACTGGGTGCTCTGGAAAGAGACCAGGCAAGAACTTGGCACCACTGTCACAAAACAGAGGAAGGAATGACAAGGGACGTACTGCGTGTGCATCCAGCAGACCCACACCACACATTACAGGCATGCGCTTTTGGACCGGTGATTTCAGAGGGTTACAGCTTAGGAAACACTCAAGACTCCCTTCTCCTTGACCTGAAGGAGAAAGGGCAGGGGATTCGGCTGCAGCTGGTACATCTCCTCCTCCAGCAGCGGATAACAAGGGGGTTTGCCTGCCACAGAACTGCCCCAGGAGCACCAATTGCACCAAGACTGCTACATGGATTGTGGAGCCCTGCCCACTTCACTACACCAACTGGAGCTAGTTCAAGTTAGAAAAACAGCAGATTGAAAAATACAGCCCCCACATTGACAAGAGGTTCCTGGATTTAGCTTGCCAAGCATCCTAGTTGGCTCTGTTTTCTAACAGGCTGACCATCAAAGCCTCTAATCCAAGCACTCGAAAGCCAGGATGCTGGATCTGAGACGGGTAACAACAGGTTCCCTTTTCTAGGAAGAACACAGCTATCCATCTGCCTAGGACAGGGGGTGGGAGAAGGGGAGTTAGTAAGTGGGGTGATGGGACTAGAGGTGCATCACATTTATGGCAATACCTATCCGCCAACCAGGAGCAGTACTAGTGCACTCCGGATGCAGCCATGCTCCGCTATCCGGGCTGCCAAAGGGGAGACAGAGAAAAGGGGAATTAACCAGGAATCTGGCCTGGCAGCAATTCACACAGCATTCAAAAGGAGACGGCGGGCAGGGGCACAGAAAGAGCCCGATAAGAGCTACCTTCACAAAACACAGTGGCAGGAATGCCACGTAGTAGGCACTGAAGAGAGAGTTGAAGAGAACTTCCTTGATCCTGCGGTTAAAGTCTGCTTTTAGGCACTCCACCTCATTGCGGATGAGATCTGGAGAAAGGGGGCAGCTGTGGGTGGGGATAGACGTAGGATTATTGAACTGTTCTCTCAAGGATTCCCACAGAAGCGAAAGGAAATCTTTGGGTTTGACCAGGCTGTTGACAGCTGAAGCCCCATCATCCACCATCTGGTCCTGTACCAAGTAACCACAGTCTGCGGGTAGGGGCTGTGCTCTGCTGTCCTGGTGGAAGCAGCACAGAGGAACGTAGACACCAAACCTGCAGGGAAAGAAAGAAAAAAAGGGCTGAAATGACAACCATCCCAACATGAAGCAGGGTGCACCTTCTCAACAGATGTTGGCCCTTATGAGAGGGACACCACACAGGAACCCTTGCTCCAGAAGCTAGTGGCCAACTCTTCTCCCCCATAAAAGGCTAG